CACAGGTGCCACGGTTGCCACAGCTGCCACATCGTGTCCCAGATGCTTTGTTTAGTGCTGCATAATCACGTGATTATCAGAAGGCAGGAAAATAAGATGCTAATGTAAGAACTAGCTGATTGAAATGTTATGTTATAATTCAGTGCTTTAAAAGCACAGTTAAGTTTTCATTTATAAATTATCGCTAAGGAATTTGTTGTGCTGCAAAAGTGAGTGTAAACCACACCTGGTGTGACATGGTCTTTAACATAGGTGGATACCTGCGCGTTACTCAATCTATTAAAAACTATACAGTTACTTTTGAGTATGTAACACAATGTATTCGATCAATATTTGATATTATGTTGTGTAAATTTCGTTATGATTGTTCTCGTTCATTGTGTGACTCATCCGTTAGCGAGGATGTCAATTTAGCCGATGTGTTATTAAGTAACATAAGTGCCATACATGGTATATCAATTCTTCGCTGGCAAGACCATATAACGCAATTTGTTCTCACAAAGATTACGTTTGCATCATTACATTCAATGAACGCACAAGTACACAATACGTACAGGTCATTACATTCACTGTACACACGAGCACGCAGTACGTACAGGTCATTACATTCACTGTACACACGAGCACGCAGTACGTATCTTCATCACCTCCTTCATCACCTCCTTCATCACCTCCTTCATCACCTCCTTCATCACCTCCTTCATCACCTCCTTCATCACCTCCTTCATCACCTACCTCATCACCTCCTTCATCACCTCCTTCATCACCTCCTTCATCACCTCCTTCATCACCTCCTTCATCACCTCCTTCATCACCTTAATACTCGAAACTATTGTGACAATCGCAATGTTATGCCGTATAACTGTAAATTTCTTGTCCTTTTCAACAGGATTTATTATCTTTTCTTTATAATTATGTTCTCTTCAGGCGTATTCTTTCTTCATGCAGCTAGTGGTAAGACTATAGGAACCGCTACATCGAGCACGTCAGCTGTTCATTATCTCGACACACGTACGACCAGATAATTTGGTGTTATGTCCTTTCCTGTATTCCAAATTTACTACTTTGGAATATTACTTGAGTATTATTCATGACTTTGTTATATGTATATTTACTTTCATTTACTTGTGTCAATTGTTTTACACGCAACTGTCACTCAATGTGTTAGTAAAACGTGCAAGCTTAAAGTTAAGGAAAGGGGAAGGAAATTCCGCCGCTAAAGGGAAGAAATTCAATGGTGGAAAGATCTTTCATTCAGGATTCAGAAATATTGGGTCAAGCACATACGTAAGTTAATTTGTGCTCAATTTAAGAAGTTCTCTCATATTGCGACATTACTATTGTTATCAGATTTGATATATTGTTCATTTCCTTTCATATGTAGCTAGTTTATTTATTCCTTTGTACCGTCATTATTTTCAGATCCACTGCGTTTTGAGGTGTGATTAAAGCCTAAAATCCGAACGCTTCTTAATCCCTCTGGTGGCTAAGCCAAATGTAGTTTATGCCAGCGTTATTTCTTATTTATAATATCGCCAATGCCTGTATAAATGGCTATCTGCCTGACCAGCAAAAATTCTCTTTACAAACATTGGTTCGTAATTTTAATCTGATTATTTGTTTTGTCGAGCAAGGAGTGAAACCGATTGGGGTCTTCGATTCAGATTATCAGTTTCAAATACACACACGTAAATATGAAATATTCAATGGCTCACAATAGACACGTGAACGCCTCGGACCATCCCGGTGAGTATAATGGAGCCTCCATGCGTGACACCTGACCGCAGTCAAGTGTTATTCCGTCAAAGTTCTCAATTAAATTAAAAGGCTTGATAGCACCTGCTAGTTTGTAGATAGAGTCGCTGATGTCAGGATTTGAATTTGATAGAATATTTAAGATGAAGGCCATAATATTAACCATTTATATAGTTATTATTTATTTTTTGAATATTGTGCAACAAGGCCACAATATATCAAGGTTGGCATTTAAAAGGGTTGAGGGTTGGAGGGAAGGGTTGAGGGTTGGAGGGAAGGGTTGAGGGAGCAGAAAGGAGACAAGTACGTGAACGGTATGTGAATAAATGCTCCATGACAGATCATTGATCCGTTTGAGAATTAATGAATAGGGCAGATTTTTGCGTAACGCCTAAGATAATAAATATCATCATATGAATCGGTGGAAACCAAGGATCACTCTAGAACGAAAAGGCCTGTTCACATTAAACGTGACATTTTAATTGCGGCAATCTGGAACAGAATCTCCAGTCATTGGAAGCTTCATTTCATTTACCGTAAATCGGTGATGTCTGATAATAATTTGACTTCAGCTTTATTATTATGTTTATCAACTTTTAACTGTTGATGTGATTATTTTGGGGCAGAAATATAGCGCTTCATTATATATAGCATTTCGTATTTGGGTTAAAATGCATATACGAATTATATAACATTTTTCTCACAATAGGAATGCCATTTGCACATGTCATAATTAATCATGAGAGCTTTAGCATGCACATGTTAAGTGAAGCGCGTATGAGTATGTTCAAGAGGCTTGACAAGCTTCATTGATTCCGTTAAAAATTCTGTGTTTTTGATCAATAAAGAGGTAGGTATTGACATCCTAGATGTGATTGAGTTGCTGATACTGAGCAAGCTATACACTCAGAATTCAGGTGCTATACAAGCTGTTATTACTTTACAATTACAAGCTGTTTAATTATAGCACCTGTTATTACAGGTGCTATACAAAAATATATATATTGTCACTCAAGAGCAGCTGAGCATTCGTAGAGGTTCATGACCATATTCTCCGTAAATAAAGTGTATATATTATCCTACTGACGTAACCGATGAAGCATTTGTTTATTCCAGTGGTTCCCAAACTTTTTCAGGCTGGCGCCCCCTTTGGCTCCCTAGTGAATTTCTAGCGCCCCCCACAGACACATATAAAATCCTGCGCCTTTTTCTTGAAATTTAGTACGCTGCACTTTTAACAGATAAAGGTTAAAAACAAATGTGTATTTCATAAATTGGACCCTTTTAGTGAACCAATGTGTTTTTTAGCTGTTTTGACCGTTTCAGCACTAGAAACCTAGGACGTCTCGGGCAAATTTACGGCCGGACTCGTGGCCGGTCTCACGACCAATCTCCAAATTCAGTTATCAAGGAATATCACCCAAACTAATGAACGCATCTCAATTAAACTTGGAACATGTATTCATCAGAACTCAACGGTGACGTTAAGCTTGCGAAAATTTTTTTAATATCACCTTCTTCCGTGAGTTATATTGCGATACAGGCCGAAATTCGTAGTGATCAAAGAATTTCTTCCAAACTACCGAACAGATTTGAACGAAATTTTGAATATACATTCCTAACTACCAAATGGTGTTTTTTAGATTGAAAAAAAATTATTTTACCGTCGTTTGCGAGATTTTTTTCATTTTACCGTCATTATTGATTTCACACTTCCTTATTCGCTTTCGTTCGCAAGTTATACAGATATAGGAGAAAAGATCGGCTTTTCTACCGGCTGGTTTAACCAAGAGTCGTTTACGTATAGCCGTATAACTCACAAACGAAAAAATTGTAACGAGCTAAACATCGCCGATGCTGAGGTTAGGTATTAAAATACTAAATTTCGTTCAAATCTGTTCAGTAGTTTGCAGGAAATTTCTTGATTACTGCGAATTTAAGCACGTATTGCTGTTTAAATCACGAATGAAACTCGCGAACGAAGGCACAATCGAAAAAATTTTCACGAGCTAAACATCACCGTTCGGTAGTTAGGACTGTAAATTCGAAATTTCGTCCGAATCTGTTCAGTAATTTGGAAGAAATTCCTTGATCACTGTGAATTCGGCCCGTACGTATTGCCATATAAATATGGCAAAAACAATTGAAGGTAAAATTCAAAAAATTTTGACGAGCTTTACATTACCGTTAGGTCCTAATGAATACGTGTACCAAGTTTCATCCAGTTAAGTTTATTAGTTTGAGAGGTGTTCCTTAATCATTGAATTTGGAAATTGGCCGTGAGACCGGCCGCGAGTCCGGCCGTTAATTTGTCGGAGATGTAAACCCAGGAGAGGTTAAAAAAATTTAACTCAGTACTCACTGCAGTGAGTGACAGAGAGAGCATTTTGTCGTCGACGAAAACGTAAAGTCACGGACTGACAGACAGACGGACGGACATGGCGAGCACAATATAGTGCATTTTTTTCATAAATGAGTAAATGCGCTAAAAACAGATCTGGGTGAAAAAACCATCGCTGGGAGTCATGATGCGCTGCCCGTGTTGTGCACAAATCGTCAAACAAACGTTCGAACTTCTGACTTCGACTTCCGAATGCCGCCCCCCTATCGCCCCCCAAACGCTCTCTTCTTCTTTATAGCCCCCCAAAATCTTTCCATCGCCCCTAGGGGGGCGATATCGCCCACTTTGGGAACCACTGGTTTATTCTAATATAGTATAAAATATTGACCTCGTACGATTTATTGAGGCAAGGCGTGCTGTTTGTGGGAACCCATATCGTTTGAGTTCGAAAAATTTACACATGACTTTTTTCCCATCAGATATCCGCTGATAAGAATATTATTTAGTGCATCATAATGCCATTCCTATCTAAATTACAAGTTATTTGAACATCGAACACTAACCTTTCTTCCCATGACTATCTTATACCGAAGTTGCGGACTGATATATTGGGGATCTGATTCTCCTGTACCAATACCACTTTTAAGTGAAATTCCTAGTAAGTCTATCAGTGGCCACTTTTTAGCAGACGATATGCGGCTGATGCGTTTCCCGTTAATCATCACTGTGAAGTGACTGCCTGTAATCATCACTGTGAAGTGACCGCCTGTAATCATCACTGTGAAGTGACTGCCTGTAATCATCACTGTGAAGTGACCGCCTGTAATCATCACTGTGAAGTGACCACCTGGCCCAGTACAGGCACTTAAAGCAGTTGCCACGCCACCGTGCATCAGAAGTAACAAGTCGAGATGATGGCTGCTCTTGTCCGCATCTTTGTAGCCCTGGCGTCCGTGATATCCTACGGTGTCACCCTATCCTTTGGTAATGATTAGTAATTAGCGATGGATTTTGCATCTATCATTTATGCCATGTGCGGCTTAACTCCCTGATACACGAAATCGTTTTTTAGCCAGAAACGAAAATCCAATATGTGACGTAACTTCAGTGCAATGTTTTTTCTTAATACGATGTTTTGTATGAATACGGTGTTACTTAAACATTTGTGGCATATAAATAATTGTACTCCTTTATATGTGAGCCTCATGAGAAATACTTAATATCTCCCTCGTGAAGTTTGGTATTCCAGGTTAGGATCGACTTTCATGAATTTCCTTCCAAACGAAAGTCAGACGCATTTACGTTATAATGCATATGAACCACATAATAAAGCTTTATAGTGTTTAGTGGAATGTGGACTAGCATAAATACTGCTATATTTCCATTAATCACATCTATTATTGCACTGCAGACCAACCTGACTTGCGGTATATCAAACTCTACTACGACAACAAGCCAGACAGCCCCTTCAAAGAGTTCCTGGACTACTCCTCCAACACGAGCGTCCAGGGCGTCGACAACACCATCCAACGCGCGTGTTATTCGGGCGTGTAAGCTTGTATTTAGGCATCTTCTATCAAAGTTTTAGGCAACATTGCTACGGGATCGGGGACTCCTGGTATATTGCAGGATTAGTAGTACATGTGACTCGTGCAGGATTATTAAAGGATTATTGCTCGTGCAGGATTATTGGATCGTGTATTGCAGGATTAGTAGTACACGTGACTCATAGTAGTACACGTGACTCGTGCTAGGTCTGCATTTAAGCGTCGAAAAGGTTAAACAGTTAAACTCAGTAACTTTGATGTTTTCGAAGAGCCCGCACTTCATGGCGAAGCTCATTTGCTGATTTACTGGCTCCACACATAACAATTTATATTAACATGTTGAGCCGATTGCGGATTTAAAATTAGGTTAAATTTAATAATGATATGAAGATTAATGTTATTTCAAATAGGCAATTGGACGCAAAGTTTATTTATATCCCCAGTTGGCTGTTGTACAACCACTACGACTACGACTACAACGTGGAAAGAGATGTATACTATTTGTATGGCCTCGACAGGTGCTTCAACTTCTCTTCTCCACAGTCTGTGAGTCATGACACTAGAATGACTAGATGAATACTGATAACTACCACAATCTAATCAATTTATATGCGATTAATTCAAACTTGGCAATATCAAACATTGGAATAATCCAATATAGAAAACTTTTCTCTCACAGGTACTTTCGCTGCGATATGCAGGCAGTCCATCTGCTATGAACGACGTATACTTCACCTTGTACGAAGGAGATATTTTCTCAGGGAAGGAATACAAAAGCAATGCCAATTCACCTTCCTTGGGAGACCTGGACATGAAAGTGTCATCGCTCGTTGTGAACGGGCAATCGCCATGGACTTTTTTTACGTATATATGCCTTTTTACGTATATCGCCGGAATCTGAATTTTTTATTTAATTATATTTTTTACATAACGTTCTTTTGTGATAAGGTAGAAAGATTATTCTCACACTGAATTTCTAAATCGTGTTTTTGATGATGAATTGTTTTCTTGGAACCGTAGTATCATCTGTAACTCTACTTGGTTCGCAGGGGCCTGCAGTTCACCGGGGAGGCCGTGTGCGTGTATCCGGTCGTTATTTCTGGCAGCAATAACATTTACCTGCATCACGAGGAATTTCAATCGGTAAGAAAATCTGATAGTGTCAGTTGTGATTATTATCTTCTTGGAACGGACACTTCTTCTACTACTACTGCTCCTGCTGGCATAAACTCAATTTTAGCTACTTGTATAGTTTGGCCGAATTGGTCATGCCAGGCGGCCATATTAAGTGCCACCTGAGTGATTAAATATTTTTAGCCGAGGACACGGATTCGTTGACTAAGTGCGAGAGGGATAAGTAACACACCATCGATCTCGAGAAATTATTTTGATACGGAGTGGTAATGCTTTAAAGCTATATTAGTCGTATAACGCTAAAACGACGACCGTTAGGTCGGAGTAGCTCTATATAACGCGAGTTACATGGCGGGTTAATTGTCAGTTACTTGGGGCCTTATTAAGATTCCCAGCCCATATATAGACTTCGTACTTCAGTTCACTACAGAGGTCTTGGTCGCTTGATCTGTCACGTGATGTTGCCCAGGCTGACTCAGGTCAAGTACTTTTCCATCAATCTCTGCCACGTCTAGTGAAAATTTCGTCTCAATTCCACATGATCCAATCTTAAAAAATAAAAATACTTAAATAAATGAGACGCCAGATTGACACCGGACAGCTCCACTCTGTCTAGAAGATCGTCCTCGATCGTATGGACACAAAACCAAGAAAACATTTTGTTCAGAACCTCCGGTCAAAATCGTAGTTCATACCTTACTCAATTATTCAGTAATAAAGGTTGTAAAAGTAATTGATTAAGAGATAAGGATACAGTTCTTTACTTAACAGTACGAAAAACCGGAGGATGACACTTTTAGAAGAAAAATACACGTCCATCTCCAATGCAATGTGGAGGAAATCCAACTGGGAATCTTGAAAACACCTTGTGGTATTTAATGCTAAGTTCTTAATAATTAATAAGCGGCATGTCAAACAAAGTTATGAATTATTAAATTAATACGACATCAGCACAATTAATGGTTAGTTATAATTTTTAGATTCCTCTTCGGAGAATCTGAAATTATAAAGAGATTCAGATTCCTCGATAAGATCTGCAGATTCTATATAATTCTTCGATTTCAGATTCCTCTCTACTCGCTCACACATTCCCTCTCCATCTAGAGAAAATTGTTTCTACAATTTCCATCGTAAAAATTGAACGCTGAACACATAAGGTTAAAGGAATGCTGTTAGAATCCATATCTTCGAGTAATAAAATACTGTAAGTATAATAAATCTTTAATTAAGATTATAAAATAAAATAATATAGATAACAGCGTTCACAGAGTAATGAAAGCAAAATAAATCATTGAATCTTCACCTCTGGCGAAACAATTGAAATTGACAATGTTAATCAGATCCAAATACTGTATCACGCTCGAAATATCATAAATCATTTATAATGAAGAGGTTAAGAAAACATTAGGATTGATCCATTGGCTCACACCGAGTCACTACAATTAAATACATTAAATTTGATTGTATATGTCGAGCATATCAATTATTGATGAGCTTTAATTAAATGAGAATTATTATTATTTTCGCAAAGGAAGCGAAAATAAAGATAAAAAATTGCTTGTGCAGAATTCAGCATGTTCCTCTAAATCATAATAGTATTACATGACATGAACGCATCATAATTGATGATGTTGTCATATGGCATAAACAAGAAAATAATTTTTTTATATCGGTCTGTTTCAATAATCTTATTACATTGCTAATACAAATACTTGTAAATAAAAGACATTTCACTTGAATGATTAATTAGTCTTTGCTAATTTAATTGGAATGCTTAAAGCGAGTGAATCATCTCTTCTGAGTAGAGAGGCAACTCAAATGTTAAAGTGCATAACATCAATTATCGCTTAGCGTGTAAACGTTGCAAAAATTCGTTATAAAATTATTACAGTCTAATACAATAAAAACACATCAGTTTTAACGCATTCTGCGTCATGTAACCAATGACATCAAATTGTTAATTTCAAAAGTGTGAAATATTACATTTGAGTAGGTAAACACAGTAATTGTATCAAACCATGCGTCGTTTGCAGCGCTTAATTCAATTACGATGCAATTTATGAACAAAGAATACTTCACCTTATACATACTCAAATATCGATTGAGTATATTGGCAAAATATAGAGGAGCAATTATCAACTTTAATAGTAAAGTTCTCAAATTTAATTCAGTTCTTCAATTAAATTATCTTAGTGGCAAAGAATAAACTAGTCACATCTCCATATCTGTCATGATAATATCTCAACATACAATTTCTTGTGTTGGCAAGTTTCATTAATTATGGATTGCATTATCCGCATTATTGCTCTGTATTTTTTAATTAGATCGCATGTCTTATTAACGATTTCATTAACTCTCATCGCTGCGCGTGGAATAATTTTGCTTACAATTTGATTTTTTAACGGCGTTGCGCAAACTCAGCTAAACATTGTTTTCATCTTCATTGAATTTTGCGAGCTTAATTATTGCAAAAAATAGTCTCAGTGAACTGAGGTCGAATTCTGCAAGTGAATTGTGAAATCATTAGTCGGCATTGATAATAAGCAATATGAAATTGTTTGAATAATATAATCTTACACGAGATGATCAGACGTCATATAAGTTAATGATGACTGTGAAACATTTCGAGGCATCTGCTGATGAACCGACTTAATCAATCAGCTTCTACTTGTTGATTCCTTTACTGACTGCCACCGTATCTCGACACCGCTGAAATTAGGAACACGTCTGCCCTCAGCTGCTGCCGGCCCCGTGGTCGCTCGTAGTCTCTCATCTCTCATCAAGTCTTTCGGCTAACGAAGGAAAGAGCTCCTATCACGACTCAGCTGCTGCGTCGCCGCCGTTATACCGCTTTTATTTTCTCTGTGTGGTCGTACCGGATTCCGAAGAACGTAAAAATATATAACTCAGCACTCACTGCAGTGAGTGACAGAGAGAGCATTTTCTCGTCGACGAAAACGTGAAGTCACGGACGGACGTCACGGACGGACATGACGAGCACAATAGCGCCTTTTTTCCATAAATGAGGAAATGCGCTAAAAACAATGCGTAGACGCTTTAACTCCGTCTCTGCGTCAGTTGTAGGCTCAATAAGAAAGTCATTACGTTGCAAGTAAAATACTAAAGGAGCTTGAGGAGCGCCCAGTCGGCTCTAAATTAACAAGCTTTGAAATACAAGAAGAAGAGGTTCTCAAGCGCCTTATCGCTGTAAATCCAAACAAGTCATGTGGACCAGACGGCTTCCACCCCAGATTACTCAAAGAGTTAGCAACTGTCCTAGCCGGCCCTCTGACGTCACTTTTTCGAAAAACTTTGAACGAAGGAATGTTG